GAGTTCTAAAAAGTCTTTTAGAGCTAAAAAGTCTGTTTAAAGTCAAAAAGTCATTTGGCCAACAAATTCAGGGTCTTTTCAGAAATTATTTTTTGAAAAAAGTAGGTTTGGAACAGAATTTTTAGAAAATAAGTGGGAGGTATTTTTTAAATTTTCAGAACAGACTTTTTCATTAACGTTCGCGGATCTAGACGGGTTGAAACTGGGTCATAACGCAAATCGGGCTGTCTTCCCCCATTTAGGCACTCTTCGCGTTATTTTTTTGAGTTTTACATTTGCCGGCCTCTCCTCCAATCTTCTCCTTCATCGATCAATCATCGATCTCCGGTGACTTTCTGGCGATTTTAATGCAATCGGCGGTGACGAATTTTTTCCCCTTACGGTGAAGTTTCTAATTCCTCTCCCTCTTTTCCCTTTTGCCTCTTGATTAACTAGGGTTCCTTCACATGGGTTCATCAAATTATTCTTCTGATACCAAGATTTTGAATCGAATTCTTGTTGTTTTACCATGGATTATTCTGGATTTTTCGTGAGTTTTAGTTATTGAGGTGCATTCAGACTAGGTTTGATGATTTTCATGTTTTTCATCCATGGGCTTGATGATTTTCATCTTTGTTTTGTATTGAGATTTCTCGTTGCTAGTTTAGTTTAAAATTTTTGGACCTATATGATTGATTGTCTGTGCTGTCGAAAGGAAGTGAAAAATATGCCGGCCAGAGGGTAATTGATTTCTTCCCCCTTTCCCCTTTTTCAATTTGACTCGATTTCTCTTCCCACATTATTCTGAAATGCTGATTTATGATCTGATTTTATTTTATTGCCATTTGAAGGTTAGAATTGATGCGTATTCATGGCTTCACAAAGGAGGTAAATTTGAACTTCCTTTTATGTTTCACATTTTCTATTAAGTAGATAATGTGATATTTATAATTCGGTGTTGGTGCTGATTTATCGTGGAAAATCTGTTACTTGTTGCATATTCTTGTAGTATGGAGCTACGTTTAACCACGGAGGGTCGGAAGAAATTTTAGTACTTGAACTATTTTATGCACCGGATTAATCTACTTCACCACTATAAGATTACTCCTGTTGTTGTTTTTTATGGAGGAAGCATGCCCTGCAAGGCAGCTACGCAGGACGAAAGGGCAAGGTGATGTCTTGATGCCTGTTTCCTGGCCTAATGTATGAATGTCATTTGAAAATATTGTCTTTTCATTTTGTTTGTTTGAGCCTTTCTATGTTGGGGGTGTTGAAGGTTGTAGTTCCTCTTCTTGATATGGTTCTTCTAGGAGAAGAAAAGAAAATCGTGACTTAGCCATGGCGAAGCTTAAGGAAGGAAATGTTTCAGCTGCAACTGAGCTATTCTAGGTGCTGGTCTATCTAGCATTGTGATACACTTCTTATTAAGAGTTTTAAGTATGGGTTATCCAAATGAGTAGAATTCATTCATCTTATTTGCATGGTTATGAGTAAACTCAAACCATTTGTTAGTTAAACCCCCCTTTTTGGGATGGCCGTAGATTGTGATGTTGAACTCAAGGACTACGGAGAAGGGGTTAAAGTAATAGATCATTTGTTTTTGTACCAATCTGTATAGTTTGATATAGAACTCTGCACCATGTATGATCTTGGTAATCACTAGATGCTAAAACAAGATGGTCTTTCACTTTAAATTCAAGAATGAAAATCATACACTCCGTTTCTACTGTGTCCTCATATTCACAGTTAAGAAAACATTAGCAAAGGTTATACAATCTTTTTTTCTTAGCATCTCTGTTGTTTTGTTGCTATACCATTTTGCCATAGTAATGATTACATATGCAACTTTTCTCCAAGCATCCTTATTACTGGACTAGTTACTGATCAAAACGCATTTCTGCTTTATATGTTATGTAGAGGGCTGTGAGTCTCATACCATTCATAGCACACCAATTGATTCAGGTATTGCAAACTAATCTCAGGCACATATCATTGTTTTTTAATATATCATCATCGCTCTTCAATGGCATTCTAAAAATGACTGAAAATACCATTCAAAATATTCTTTCCTTCTCTGATCACACATGGTTCTGATACACTGAGTTGCACATCTTCCAAGAGCATTTTACTTTACCAACTTTATGACAGCTTCTTTTTCAAATTGATTTAATTCAAACCCCCATCAAAAAGCAAATCGATTAGTATCTGGGTGTCTTTCCTTTGGAAAATTCGTATTTCAATTGAATGTCAACTTGTGTAAATCTTGATGGTATGCAGTAAAGGGATACGACAACTTAGCTGCTGTTGATTAACTTTTTATGGTCTCGCTTACTGATGCCAAACAATCTTTTCTTTTGCAGTTGCTTACCTTGTTGGTAAAAGTGCCCATGTTTGATGTATAACTCAGCATAATTTATTTTCAGATAGGGAACTTTCAAAATTTTGTACATGTATAGCTACCGTAGACATTTAATATGTGCTTACTTGAAACTCAGAACTCAGTATGATGATGTTGTGAATTATTTAACTTGCTCCAAATTTACTTGTACCAAGGCTAAAAATATGAACTTGTACCAATATGCAGAAGAACAATACAATTTGTGTAATCCGTAATGTTTTTCTCTATTTTGATAATATAAAATTTAAAAGAAGACAATTGTGAATAATAAAAAAATAATTCAGAAACAAAAGTGAAAAAAATGAAAATCAAAATTTGTGTAAGTATTTCTTTTTATTAAAAAAAAGAAAAGTGCAATAATTAAATTTTGACAAAAAGTGTTTTTGGAAAAGGTCTAATCCAAATGGCTTTTTCATATTTTTAACTACAAAAAGTTTTTTGTTAAATTTTTGTCCAAATGGATTTTTTTTCAAAAAGTCATTTTGAAATTTTCCTCCAAAAAGACTTATTTGAAAAGGTTTTCAAAACTCTTGTCCAAATGGAGCCATAATTTTCCAATTTACATTTGATTAAAAAAAATTAGTAAGAAAGAGCATGAAAATCACATTACTTTATTAAGAAACTAGTTGTTAAACCCGTGCGATGCACGGGATTTATGTATATGTTTTTATAAGTTACATATTTAAAAAATAAGAAATGGTGAAACAAAAGCGTACTAAGTATTTAATGAATATTACGTATTAAATTTAAAAGGAAAATGCTTACGATTGTTCTATTTTGAAATAATATAAATGCAAACATCATTCAATTGTAAATAAGCAAAAATGTAATATTACAACAATTGTAAACTCTAATTGAGAAAAGAGTAAAGAATAAAGTAATTATACAAAAAATGTAATAAAAACATACTGGTGAAATTGGGCTGGTTATTCAAAGTAATTAGCATGTTTGATATTAGTCTTAAAGAGTTCAAGTAAGAAAATTTACATGACATGACGAGGCTAAATGCTAAAGGAAAGTAAACAGTTGGGGTGACATTTAATATTTTTTAATGTTGTTATCCTTTTGTGAAAATAATATATGGAAAGTTAATCGTTGGAATAAAAAAAATTCCAGATTCATTTCGCACGATATTACCCGCACGATGTGCGGGAAAAAACAAATCACGCTTATTTTTTCATGAGATATTAATAAATATGATTAGAGTATCCACAATAGTATACCCTATTATGAAAATGTCATGAACTATTAACCCCAAAAAAATTTCGAAGTAAAAGAAGTAAAAAAGATGACCTTACGTTCTAGTTCATTTTGATCTTTCTTTTGGTCTTTAAATATGGATGCCACCACAAGCCCTCTATATGCCTGATTTTTCAAAAAAGAAAACCCAATTGTAATATTCTTCTCAATAGTACAAAATTTCGAATCAATATTGGAGATTCTCTTTTACTGCTAAATTCACATTAATGAATTGGAGAGAGCTGACCCGATTTATCCCCTTTATACAAAAAAAAAAAAAACAAAAATAACAATAATAAAATAAAGTAAAAAGAAGAAGGGCGTTTCTTGAATATCAAACCCATATTTCTATCCTGCAATGAACAAAAATACAAATGGATTAAACAGAAAAATCGGTATTCATAAATTCAGAGTTAAACTAACTGTAGTTCACAACACCCATTTGAAATGGTCTTTGAAGCACAAACTGAAGGGCTTGAAGTACTTATAGATTATTTATACGCGATAATATGCGAGAGTATAGAGAATTAATTTCTAAGATATCTTGATAATTTTTAACTTTTGAATTTCAAAAATATAGTAACAAATGATTTAATTTTATTCTATAAGTGATTTATTATTAATTGCACCAAAAATATGGGATGAATTATTAATTTTTACCTTGATTTTTGGGATAAAGATCAAAAGTTATTGGATATATTTAATGTTAATTACTTTAGATAAATGTAGTGAATGTGCTAATATGCTATAACCAATATTTTTAGGGGCTATTAACTAAATGTTAAAACTTTTTTCCTCAAAATATTGAGAAATTGTCACCTAGAATTTTATCATATGTGACACTTTTAAAAATCTTTTTTAATTTCGCAACAGAAAATCACATTTACTTCGCCTTGCTAAATCAAGTTGGATGAAATTGTTCTTTCAAAATTTTTTTCCTAAAGGGATAGGGGGCACGCACGCGCGTGGAGAGCGTGGGGGAGACTGGATGGAGGCTTGCGCGCATCGGACAAAGGCGTACGGGTGTTGGGAGACCGGATGAAGGCGTACGTATACGCGTGAGAAGGCTTGCGCTTGTCGGATGAAAGCGTGCGCAAGACGAATGTTAGCCTAAATACTCGTAAAATGTATTTAAGGAAAAAAATATAGTTAAAGCAATCTAACAAGAAGTTAAGAACATGTCAAAAAATACAGATACTATCTTTAATCTTTTAAATTCTTTTTGGGTACAATTAATATTTAACTATATTATTCCAACAAAATCACACTTGTTACAATACGGAGCAACAAAAAGTAAAATCTGTTTTATTTTAGTATAAATACTAAACCTTTCTCTAAATCCTGGGTATAGAGAGAGTCATCAGATTTGGATATTCAATTTTCAATGGCAACCAATCTTTCCAAAAAATTAATCACCACATTCATAATCCTCCTTTCTGTCTCAACAACACAAGTTGTTTCAGTGGCTCCAAAATGTGAGGAAGAAGAACAAAATTCATGCATCAACAAACACAAAGCATTTCCCTTGAAGATCATAGCCCTTATCTCTATTCTTGTGGCTAGCATGATCGGAGTTTCTTTGCCTCTAGTCACTCGTTCGATCCCGGCCCTAGGCCCCGACCGGAACCTATTTGTGATCTTGAAATGCTTCGCGGCCGGGATCATTCTCGGGACCGGATTCATGCACGTTTTGCCGGATTCATTTGAGATGATGGGGTCAAGTTGCTTGGAAGAAAACCCGTGGCATAAGTTCCCGTTTACGGGCTTTTTGGCCATGCTTTCGGCTATTGCGACGCTTATGGTTGATTCCATTGCTACTAGTGTTTACACTAGGAAGAATGGGAGTCCGAAAGAGGCTGTCATTGCGGCAAAAGGCGGTCCTTTGGACCAAGAAATGGGTGTGGTTGATGGACATGCCGGTCATTTCCATGGTCATGGATCGTCCACAATGAAGAGTAATGCTGAAGGGTCTCAACTCTTGAGATATCGAGTCATTGCCATGGTAATTATATACACTAATCCTTTTACTTCTTCTTCCTTCTTTTTTCGGTAATGCTAAATTTTGGTTGGACTTGGAATTCTTCTATAAAGGATGTTTGATTTTCTTTTTTTTTTTTTGGCTTAAAGTTCGATAATTTGGAAAATTCTGAATGATCAATTTTTGACTCTAGAATTTAAGCAGCAATTTTAAGTTAATCACTTCGTACTCTTGTTAATGTTCTAGGCAAATGGAATCATGTTGTGATCAATGATTTTATTTTTTTCAAAAAAAAAATAAAAATAAATTCATTTTGTCTTCCAAGAAGAAGTGTTGGACTTGTTAACAATGTGTTCGGTCGTCGTCGGTGAAATGGATAGGTCGTAAGGGTTTAATGACTGATAAGGAGAGGACTAATAAAATCGAAAGAGATGGATTCTTTGACTTCTACGTTTCGCTTATAGTGACTTCTTGGGACTTTTTGGTTTTTGATTTTCATTCTTTTTTTTTTTCTTTGGATTTTTTTGGGTAAATTCATGCATTCAGATTTCAATTCAATGTACTGATTTCAATGTCTTGATTAAGTGAAAATCTTTAAAGTCCCAATAAATAATATGTCAAGAGAATCAAACTCCTGATTATAGTGATTTTTTTGGACATAATAATTTAAATTTGACACTTGTATGAAGACATTAATCGAATAATTCTACCAAAGGGTTTGTTGATGTATTTGTTTTCATTAGTAGTATAAATTTTCAATTTTAGCAGTTACAATAAATTTAATATTTGTCCCTTTGTGCTATGTGGAATTGCAAGTCAACTGGACTGAAGTAGAAAAACGTACGGTAGAGAATAGTAATAGGTCATCGCTTATGGATGAATATTATATTATTTTTAGTCAGGATAAATCAAATTAATTTTTCTCTCTTTTGTTGGCAGGTCTTGGAGCTTGGAATCATTGTTCATTCTGTAGTAATCGGGCTATCCCTTGGAGCCTCAAATAATACATGCACAATAAAAGGGTTAGTCGCAGCTCTTTGCTTCCATCAAATGTTCGAAGGAATGGGACTTGGTGGTTGCATTCTTCAGGTAAACCATCTGAAATTGGAATTAAAGGGGGGCCTAATTGACGCTAATTAAATGTTATTTTCTAGTCCCAAAATGATTTTAGATTGCTATATTTGGAGAATCATTTTAAATAGGAAGATTTTTTTTTTGTTAGAGTAAATATTGACGAAAAACAAAAGAAAAAAAAAGGGACAAAATTATTGGCATCCCCCGACTTGCTTGCATGTTGCACAATTGTCAATGACATTGATTACATTTCAGGTAGGGTTTTGGAAGTTGCTTTTAAATTTGGTCATATTGTTTTCCAGAAGAAAATAACTTTAAACAATGACCAGATGTGCAGTGTAGGTAAAATACAAAAATAATAATAATAATAATAATAATAATAATAAGAATAAGAATAATAAAACCAACGTTTATCAAATTGATCTCTTGTCATTTGAGAAGAGGTTATATAAAAATGTATTACGCAGGCGGAGTATGGATTTTTGAAGAAGGCGGTGATGGCATTCTTCTTCGCGGTAACAACACCATTCGGGATAGCACTTGGACTGGTTCTATCAAACACCTACAAAGAGAACAGCCCTCGTGCATTAATCACCGTCGGATTGCTCAACGCCTCGTCGGCCGGACTTCTGATTTATATGGCGTTGGTGGATTTGTTAGCTGCTGATTTCATGGGTTCAAAGCTTCAAGGCAATATCAAACTGCAGCTCAAGTCTTATGCTGCTGTGCTCCTTGGTGCGGGAGGAATGTCTCTCATGGCTAAATGGGCTTGAGGATATATGAAGGAAGATTCATTTTCACAACCAAAAAAAAAAGAGTCAAAATTGTGGAATGAATATTGTTACTGTAATTTCCTTGCATGCATTAGTTTTTTTTTACTGGTCTTTAGACTTAGTCTGCAGGTTTATTTTTTCTGCTTGATTCTAGGAAATAAGTTTGGATGCTTGTTTGTTTGAATACTTGAGACTAAATTGAGTTGTTATTTTGATTTGATTTAAGCTTATTTTTGTAATTGTCAGCTCTATATATGAAGCTGCATTTGATAAATGAGATATACAAGTTATTTTCCATTACTCTTCATACTTACAAACAGCTTTCCATGCTTCTTTTTTCTTTTAAAAATCCTACAGTTCTCTAGTTCATGCTTGCAAGTTGAACGAAGATCATTGTAACAATTTAAAGTTTTATACCAGTACTATACTATGTAGTGGAGAATAACAAGAGGGATCATTTTCTGTTTTTTAGACTGCACCCATTGACCCAAAAAAAGAAAGAGAGAGAGAAGAAGGTTAAATTATTTTTGTCCAAACAAAATATATAATTCAGGTCGAATTTTGAATTTTACACTATTATTTTTTCAGTGTGGACTAGACTAATTTTTTTTTTTTTGAGACAGAAGGAGTGTTTGTTAGTGTTTTAGGACACATGTATTTAGCTCAAAAAAAAAGGACACATGTATCATTAGTGCTATGAAACTATCTAAACTATTAAAACTTTGTAATAAGAATTGAACCATCAATTTCATATAATTTTACCTACAATGCTATAACTATCAGTGAACGCGACTTGATTATTGGAGTCATTGTTTACAAGTATTGTTTTTAATTATGTCTTCGCATCAGTGTTTGAGACCAATCTATAATTTCCGAACTGAAATAACTAAATAATTGAATGCAATATTCTACTTGTATTTTTATTTTTGCAATTTTCCATTTAAAAAAGAAAACAAGATAAGTTGTGATGTTGATTAGTTTGATGATCAGTCAACGCGACCATGTTTGGGATATCACCCTCAACATCAAGAAACCCATACCTCCAGAATTTCCACTAGCCCCCAAAACTGGTTTGGTTTTACACTACAAGCAGCACAGAATCTAAAAAAGTGAGTCACGCAACCCAGAAATATGGCACATCATCGGGTTGGAATTAGAGTGGAGTATTCTTTTTGGTAGCTAGAGATGAATTAATTTGGTCTTCTCTGCAACAAAATGGGAAAAGACAATCCTCTTCACTTCGAACCATTGTTGAACAATTATCTCAATTTGCGAGTCTATTTTAAACAAGAATAGGTTTAGGAAATAGTCATAATAATATATCCAGAACAAAGAAAGATATCTCTGGATCAGTACGGTAAGTATAGCGGAGCATAAATATAAATAGCAAACAAAAAAAAAAAAAGAATTATGTATGGTCCAAAAAAACAAAAAGAATTACGTATGTTACGACATTCGATATTTCAATAAATCTACATTCACGAAATTGATAACATAAAAAGTAAATTTATGAGAGTACAAAATAATAGAGTTTATAAGTGCGTTTTAGATTTAACACACGATGTCTTTCAACATTCACTTTTACAATTTACACTCACTATCTTCTATTGCCTTGTCTGCTCTTTCATTAGTTTACTTTTAGCAGAAAAAATGTATTTATACCAAAGTACTATTACAAAGTTTTATTATGCTTCTTGTTGGTCTCTAAAATAACACATTTTCTAGGGAGGATGTATATGTATTAATAAGTAAGAAAATGGCATTTCACTAAATTACATTGAGTAAAATAGATGGAAAATTTGATGATATATTGGTAGCTAAATAAGTCATAATTAACTACATTTAGTAACCAAAATCTTGATTGGAAAAAATGAGAGAGAGAGAGAGAGAGAGAGAGAGAGAGAATAAAAGCCTCCACCACGTACATAGACAAATTGACCCTCTCTTAAGTTGCTTACATGTTTCACAATTTACAAATTTATAATATGAGTTATTTTTTATGGGCAGGGCTATTTTTGTCATCCTGATATCAATTTTTATTATATAATCTGACTATAAAATCTAAATTCTAAATTAGTTACTAAAATCCGTCATATAACAGTTGGTCACTTGCCAACTTAATAAAAGGACAGCTCGGAGAAAACATTAGTCAAAGAAAAAACAAGCCGCACTGAATAAATCACATATGACAAAGTAGTAATAATAATAGTAGAGAAGAAACGCACATAGAACACATCAACTTTTCCTCTCCTCATATCTTCTTCTTCTTCTTGAATCAAAAACACAAAAACCTCAAAAAGAAAATTCATATGGCAAATAAATTGAGCTCCATCTTCTTCTTCATCATCATAATCTTATCTTTCTCAATCACTCAAGTCATTTCAGAAGAAGAATGCGAAGACTCCTCAGAATCATCATCACAAACCTCATCCTCATGCAACAACAAACACCAAGCGTTAACCCTCAAAATCATAGCCATTGTTTCCCTCTTGATTACCAGCTTCATCGGTGTTTGCTTGCCCCTCGCAACCCGTTCCGTCCCGGCCTTAAGTCCCGATCGAGACGTGTTCGTGATAGCAAAAGCATTCGCCGCTGGAATCATCCTCGCCACCGGATTCATGCACGTTTTGCCGGATTCGTTCGAAATGTTGAGTTCCGGCTGCTTGGCGGAAAAGCCTTGGCATCAATTCCCGTTCACGGGATTTGTTGCGATGCTTTCGGCTATTGTCACGCTTATGGTGGATTCTATAGCTACGAGTATTTATACCAGTTGGAGTACTAATAATCATAATCACGACGGTGATAAATCCGGGGTGATGAGACTTGAAGACGGCGCCGGAGGTCATCGGAATAACAATGTTGCCGATAATCAACCACATTTTCATCATCATCATCATGGATCGATTAATACGAAGGATAACAGTGAAGGGGCCAAGCTTTTACGTTATCGAGTGATTTCCATGGTTAGTTCTCTTCTCTTACTAAAATTTTGAGGTTTTCTTTTTTACGTGGTTTAATTCTTTTTTATTAGAATATTCCGCCACCGTAATTAATTAAGTCTGAATAATTTTGCCTTTCATCGCCTGAAAATATAATGAAGAACCCAAAACTTATTCTTTTTTACATATCAGTATTAAGAAATTGAAACTGATTTTTAACTATATTGATTCTGAACACGTTATGTTTTCTGACCCAAAAATTATTCATTCAATGTCGTAACCATATGTATAAATTAAAAGAACTAATTATTGTTTGGTTGTTTTAAGATTTTGGTTATACCACGATGCAATCGAGGCTGCACATTTCATAAGTGTAATAGTTTTAATCCAGGCTTTGCCTTTAAAGCCTGGATATAATTGATAATCAGTTAACTAGGTCCAAATGCGAGCAATTTTTAAATCAGTACCCTTTTTATATGTGACAATGTAAATGCCAGGAAACCCTTCTTCTTGCGTATGTGGGTTGTGGTACATTTAGTACCCAAGATCAAGTGCAATCACATATTTCCAAAACTTCATTATGCGGGGCAGATTATGATAAACTTTTAGCATTAATTTCACTTTTCCACCATGAAGTTTGTTTACTTTTTTTTTGCTCATGAAAAAAAATATATATATTGTTCTAATTAACTTGAAGCAACTTATGATCCCCTATATAAACTATGTTTAATAATTCGAGTATTAAAATGGAATGAGATAATAAAAAACTTTGTGAAATGTGATTGATTTTTTGGCAGGTGTTAGAGTTTGGAATCATAGTTCATTCGGTGGTGATCGGGCTATCTCTGGGAGCATCAAACAACACGTGCACCATCAAGGGACTTGTGGCTGCCCTCTGCTTCCACCAAATGTTCGAAGGCATGGGTCTTGGTGGTTCTATCCTCCAGGTAATTAATTCTTTACCTTGCCAAAATTTTCATACCAGAATCACTGTGCTGTTTGTTTCAGTAAACAGAATAATCATTTTGAAACATTAAGAATACAATATTTAAATGAGTTATATAGTCCATTATTTTAACACTCCATATACTTCACAACTTTTACATTTTTAACATTAAAGATTGAACTATACCCGGTGTTCCAAAATAAGATAGTTAGTTAAATGAATAAAATAATTCAACAAATATAACCCTTATTTCGTATAATTCCTGTCGATTTATAACATAGATACTTTCGATTAATATCATGTACTATTTTCCAAAAAAAACAAAAAGAAAAAACACTATCTCCCAAAATGTCGCTTACATTTTCTTTCTAGCTCTTTTTTCTATACTAATTAATTAAGGGTTATAATGTGTATGGGATTATCTTTGCAGGCAGAGTACAGCCTTGTGAAGAAATCACTCATGGCTTTCTTCTTCGCTGTAACAACTCCATTTGGAGTTGCACTCGGGCTAGCTCTATCCAATACATACAAAGAGAGCAGCCCACATGCTTTAGTCACTGTTGGGCTACTCAATGCTTCATCAGCTGGGCTTTTGATCTACATGGCACTGGTGAACTTGCTTGCTTCAGATTTCATGGGACCAAAGTTGCAAGGCAGCATTAAACTTCAAATCAAAGCTTATTTTGCTGTGCTTTTGGGTGCTGGAGGCATGTCTGTTATGGCTTTATGGGCTTGATGGGATTAACATCGAAAATTCAATATATAGTTTTGTTATTCTCTACATTTCGGAAATTTGAGTAACACCAACAATATGAATTGATAAATTATTTGTCAGGATAATTATTTTTAGATAGAAAACAGTAATATGTACTTTGTGATGCTTTAAGGATTCTTCTGATGACAAAGTTGGTTCAATTCAAGTTTAATATTACAATTTGTTGCTGGATGAATTTGGGCCAGCGATATGACAATCTAATAACCACTAAGATACTACAATTTTAAAAAAAAATAAAAAGAAAAAGAAAAAGTACTTTGTTACACTTGAAAAGACACAAACAGTAATAATAACTGTCCTATCCCAACATACATTTTTACATTTTTAGTACATATTTTTACATTTCCAATACAAAAAAAAACCTAAAATACATACTAAAAAAACAAAACAAACATACCGTTATGATTGATTTTTATAAAAGATACAATTAGTTATACTTTTATGTTTTACTTGCAATCGAATTATGTTAATGTTTTATTCATACACTACCTCCGGTCCTTATTATAAGACATTTTGATTTGTCTTAAGTTCATTTAATATTTCTTCCAGTTGAAAATTAAACTTTAAAATAATTTATAATAATTGAGAGAACACAATAAATATAAAAAATATAATGTTAAAATTTTATTTTCAATTAAAAAAACATACTAAATGAAATTTAGGATAAATTAAAATGTCTTATGTTAAAGACGAGAATGAGTATATCCAAGAAGAAAGATGTTCGAAGACAATAAAATAAACATGTTTTGGGTAAATTTTGCTTTTGAAATACATACATTCTCACAAGAATTGCATCATGGAAGTATGGAACCATTTTGTCCATCAAACGGAAATTAACTAAAGAACCTTTCCCTTAACCAAATAAAAAATTTAAAAGATTAACTAATAAAACGCAATAAGGAAATTACTAAAATTATTTAGATAACAGAAAAAGAAAGTATGCAGTACCAAAGCAGTAACAAACAAAGCAGTAACAAACGATCTTCTCTACTTTCTTTGTCACTCCCAGAAGTCTCAATAACAAACAAAACATATAAAAATAAAAGAATTGGAGAGAAGAAGCTCTGTGGAGACACAAAGAAACAGTTGTCAGACCAGGCTTCCACAAAACAAGAGAATTATACAAATTAAAAATATTTTAGGAACAACCTCTGAAGGAATCTGGAAAAAGGGGTCCAGATCAAATTCTTATTTGTTGAGTTGGAAGACCTGTCTGACTCTCATGGTAATGGAACCTTCACCTCTTGATTTTTTTTTTTTATTTTTTAGTTTTTTCACACCGTCTAATGATTGTCTCGTGCCAGTGTTAATACGGAAAATTATTTTAAATTGGCATGAATTTTGTCCTTTTACCAATATTGATAATTTTTTTCTTGGGGGAAGAAAGTTTGGAAGTTCTGAGGATATGGGCTGGTTGTTTGACTTTGATGTATGAAGGTATTTGAAAGGCGAAGTTGAATTATGGTGAAAATTTGCAGCAAGTTTATTTTTTTTTTGCTTTTTTTTTTTTATTCTGGATTTATGAATTATGGATCTTGATGGCGTGTGAACTTGCTAATTGTTCTTGCAGAAGGTGGGATGAACAAGATCAGATTTTTATGGAGTTTCGTGGGCTATATTGGGATGAAGGTTTATTCACTTTGACATTTCTTTTGGGGGTACTATTGAGGATTTTCTGTCAGAATATTTGTTCACAATAGGATCTCAAATACTACTTTCTGTGCCAGATTTTTTGTTGGTGCCTTCATAGCTTTTCTTTGTAAATATATAGAAGAGATTTTTGGATTGATGGGTTTCATAAGATTTTGAGGCTTAAGAGATAAATAAGCCGTGGATACTTCATTTCAAATTGTTGTCTGTTTGGGATGGTTGACAATCTTGTGATTGGTAACGGGTCATTGATGAATTTAACTAAGGATGTTAGAGTGGAAGAGGACGAGGAAGAGTTTCGAAGCTGCTGTGAGGATGAAAATGAATTAAGGGAGAGGGAAGAGTTGGTTATGTTGGATTCTGAGCCCAGAAATATCGATGAGCATTCAGTGAAAATGTACTTCAAGGGTGTATCAGTAGCTGGCCCTGGAGATTCTGGTTCTGGTTTTTCTGGAATTGGGGTGGTCATGAAGAGGTCAGATAGTGTTCCTCCTATTCAAGTGCAGAAGATGCTTGACTTTTATGTTGAAGAGCCTGTTGCAAATTATTTAGCTTTGATGGATGGTTTAGCTGAAGCTAGACAGAACAATATCAAGAAGGTGTATGCCTTCACGGATTCCCAGATTTTATATGGGCAGGTGTGGTTCCTCCCCTTAAACTATCTATTGATAAAGTCTCTCTTGAGGAATTTCTTCCTCTTTTTAAGTCCTTTATGTTTATTGCTTTTTTATGGACAAAATGACCACATATAGGCATTGCAATTTCCTCTGGGTTTTAGAAATAGTCACCTCAAAATGAAGTTCCCCTCACCAGTAGATTCTTCCCTTTCCCTGAGGTCTGTTTCCAATACAAAAATAACTATTCATGATCCCTTTGGTTGGGTTGCCAGCTTATTTCAACTCTTTAATTGTTCCCTTTTCCCCTAATTTATCCACGATGTGTAATCTTTTAATTGCATAAGCTGTATAGCTCTATTCAATCTTTAATGTTTGACAGCATGCACACAGATTTTTAATTGTTCCCTTTTCCCCTAATTTATCCACGGTGGACATTATTTGGATTTCATGGGACAAAGATTATTATGGGGTTCAAGTTGTAACTATTTTCTGTCAGGTTTTACAAACTGAGGAACTTGAGAATCCACTCCTTATGGCACTGAAGCAACGTGTTGCTGAACATACGAGTGGTTTTGAAGAATTTACCCTGCAAATTGTCCATTCAAATAGTCTTCAAGCTGCTGTAGGATTAGCCAGGGTCGCTGTTGGAGTTATCTCTGAAGGAAATGATTCAACACAATGTTGCTCTATATGCTGCGAAGAAAAACTTGCTTCTATGATGATGACGATAAAGTGTTCTCACACATTTTGTTCTCATTGCATGAAAAAGTATGTCAAGGGAAAGTTAGAGTCAACTCTAGTTCCAATTAGATGCCCTCAACTAAAGTGCAAATACTACCTCTCAGTTACAGAATGTAAAGCCTTTCTACCAGTCATATCCTATACATCATTGGAGAAAGCCCTTGCAGATACAAACCTGGTTACTTCAGAGAATATATACTGTCCTTACCCTAATTGTGCAGTTCTACTTGATCCTCATGAATGTTCATCATCCGTGGAAAGTTCATCAAGTAGCACTGATAACTGTTGTGTTGAGTGCCCTGTTTGCCAGGGGTTCATCTGTGTTGATTGTGGGGCCCCTTGGCATTCGTCAACCACCTGTGAAGAGAACCAGAGTCTTCAGCTGGAGGATAGGGATTTAACTGGTGTCACTCGAAATGGTTTGGCTCAGAATAGGAGGCAGAGACAATGCCAACACTGTGGTAGAATGATCAAGCTGTCTCATGGTAGCTACCATTTGACATGCCGGTAAGATTTCTCATACTAATTCACTTTTTAGTGTCTCTTGAAGAGTATGTCGAATTGCCCTTCCAAATGAATTGTTCTATCTATTGATCTTTCATGAATGTTGCATATTTGTGGTAGATTCAAGACATTTCTGTGGTCTAGTTTGTTTACTATCTTGGTGTGGCTCTATATTAGAATGTCATGTTAGCAGTTAATATCTGGCCAAGGACAGAGGATAAGCTGATGTAGTTCCAGGTGGGGTAGATTGTTCATTTTTTTCTGAGGCATTCATGTACAGCTGGTCGTCTGATTTTCCAATTTGTTCTAAACTGAGAAAATATGTACACAGAAATGGTAGTTTCCGACACAATGAGAAAGGTGTATGGTACAGAACAACTGTTTATATCTGTTTTAATGGAGGAATAAGCCTATGGTTTTAGAATGAGAAGTCCATTACATTTTTTTGTATGTACTGCAAATCTGTGCATCATAATAGAGGAGGTTGCTCTTATCTTCATATCCAATTTGTTCTCTACGGATGATTGGATGATACCTTGTAAGTTGTTCTCAGTTAGACAAAGTTAGTTATTATTTTCTGATGTTGAATGAAAATGGCCAATGCAATAGTCCAATGCAGTACCAGCTTGCTAAGTTGTGATCTAAATCCTCTTCTTAGCCTGTGTAGTGTTCAAGCTGTATAACTCAAGCCTTAAATGAGTAATTTTTCTAATTAGCTCTTACATGAAAATTCTTTTAGATTGATCTTATCCAAACCTCCACATAGCTGCTCTGAGTAGGCAGAGATTTCCATGCGTAGGTAAAGCAGGAAGTAATAATGACCATCTTTGTTATGTTTAAAGCATCGAGCTTTTCAATGATCCATTTTCTACTGATAATTTCACATTTCACCATCATCAGGTATGACCTTTTTGTTAGGGCGAGGATCCTATTTGGTTGCCTGATCTATAAGATTCTTTTTTGCTCAATGTTTATTTTCTCAATCGATGAACTTTTGATTATTTATATTTCTCTTTAAGAATAAGGAATAGTTCATCATGGCAATGATTTGGAGTAATTCTATAGTTACATGGAAATATGACTTTGGTTATGTTATGCTGTAGTTAACATGCATAGAAATGAGTAACGTCTTTCTTTTTTTGTATCATTTCTCATCTTCTTTTTATGTAGAATCAGACTTCCTTCCGGAGACATCGGTTTTACTCAATCAAAACCTGCGACATCATATACTGTTCCGTCAATTACTAAATGTCCTGCACTATCATTAGCACATAGATACGAATCTGAATCACTGAAAATGTATGAATAGTTCCAGATATTTTTCAATCATCCACACCACTATAAACTAATAGAATCTGTGCATTTGATCAGTTGGAGTCGGTGCCTTAAGTATTGTAAGTACTTGAAAGGAAAACCAACAGTTTCCTTGTCGACCTTTTGGGATACACCGTTGCCCTTTACTTGAGCACATCTACTCATACCAGTTGTTACTCTTCTAAAGGATTAAATTTCCTCTGATTCAGCCTGTTTATTGTCAGAGACTGTCCTCCCTCTCGTATATGCATCCTGGTCTGTTCAATCAATTGTACGCGGTCTTCACCTAGCCGTGTTGGACATTCAGCATAAAGGCAGTCTTTCTTAGTAATTCTCTTGTAGCTGTTTGGGTTTTTTATTAAATGCAGAACTTGACTTCTACTGTTAGCAAAGTCCCCAACTTAATCTGACCCTTACTTCATAAAAATTCTCTTGATTGTCATCGCTTCCTTTATACTTTTTTTTCCCTGACACTTTTTACCTCTATCATGTCTTTCGTATGGAAAAATTTAAGCTGAAAAAGTACAGAAGTAGTTTTGCTTTCAATTAATGTTTGGTTATCTTAATTTTATAGCCGCATTGTTGCTAACTTTTCTGTTAACAGCTTAGATTTAACAAAAATTAAAAGATTTACCAGATTCCGAAATCAATAGGCTTACTTTGTAGCAGGTTTAAATTGGTGCTGATAATCATTGCTTACTTTGTCGGCGCATGTTCTTGAATAATTTATTTGCATAGAAGATGGTATCTTTTACTCTCATTTGTAAAAAAATTACTCTTCAAATTTAGTTGCTGGAACACATCAACACGGGGGGATATATACTACATATTCTTAGTTTGCTTTGAATGAAGAATCTTATAACTTTGCATTTGGTGGTTTTTCTGTTCTTTGCATCCTCAATGGTGGATGTTTGTTTCATATATATAGCTTGAGCTATAATTATTTTTAAGCTGCTAATGAGGATATTGTGGAAATCTCTCTAGATTTCTGAAGTCTTTGAATGTTGAAATCACTGAGGACCCAGTAATTTATACTCACCTGTGTCACCTGTGTAAGGCTACTTGTCAAGATATCACAAGACCTTTGACCGTGTGATTTTTCACTTATTGCATGATCTTTTTACTTGTGAATTTTTTGTGCTTAAGATGGGAATCATATCAATTCAATATAAAATTGATGCACAGTGGTCTGGGATACACAGGTGTGGGCATGAGTTCTGTTACTCTTGTAGCAGAGATTACATTGATGGAGAGCAATCATGTCAATGTAGATATTGGGGTGAACATTATTCTGAAAACTTGTTGATTCAACCTTCACAAGAATATGAACAATGGGCTTGGGACTCATTTGATTCATTGCCGTTGATGATGGATGCATATTCAGACCAAGAGAGATCACAGCTGGCACTGATTCAGAGGTTTCTTGCCGGGGGTTTTGGGTTCAGCGATCCAAATCTTGACCAATCCCCAACTCACCAAACTAGAGATACATATGCTGATACCATGAAGGATCTCCACCAGCTACCGTGGCTGGAAAGGTTTGTTTCTGTCATAAGTGACAACTTTTATGAAGAATATATCCAGTGAACTATCAGGCATTGGAGGTTCATGCTTGTGCAGCCAGCCAACGGATGCGATAGGGCAAAAAGAAGAGTATCTCACTCTCTCTGACTCCTCTATAACCACAGGAGCCTGTTTGTATCCGAGTTTGAGCTGAAACACACAATCCTCAATTCTTTTGTAAGAATCCATTCATGTGGATGATAAAGTAACTTTCTCCTGGAAAGTTGAAAAAAAGGTGAAAGATAAAGAGGATTAACACAAATAAATATTATCTTGACAGGTGAAAAGAAATGAAATACAAGTTTGGAAGCTAGATATGATGCCTCTTGGTTATGTGCGCATAGTGTTGTATTTATTTTAGAGTTCCTTGTGCCTTATATATCTGTTGCCTGTTGGTACTGGGCAAAAGCATTTGATTCATGTTCCCTTCCGTAAGGATTGGCAGGAAGGAAGGAGTAACTTGTGTTTCTAATTTGGCATAAATTTCCATCATTGTCCATAATCACTTCCTCCAAATTGAGGAATGAGAGCAATGGCATAAAATCTCAAGGTTGTTAACCCCATTTTTTTTTTTTTATTTCCCGGATTTGCTTGCAAGCTGAACTAGAAAAATAGTCTCTTCGACAATGCAGATTCATGCAACGACATATCAAGTGATTCTATTTCTAGCTGATTCAAAAATTCTAGACAGAGATCTTCAAATCAGGACTACCAAACTCGACAAGTTTGCGTATTTGGAAACTTTTTTTCATTAACCCAACAATCCTTTTACGAAAATAATGGCTTAATTTCCCAAAAAATTCCAAAGAGTTGCCACCAAATTATGGTGGGATCTCCGACATTTGGGTTCGAATGGTCGGGTAAAGCGACTGGACAAGCATTCCTATTTTACAATTGGGATCTCTTCAGAATAACAAAATTTTTCTCCAAATCCAACACTTTGGAAAACAACACTCATGGCACACAAGGTATCATTGTAATCTTTTTAGTCGAAGTGGTCTTGCACACAAGGTATCATTGTAATCTTTTTAGTCGAAGTGGTCTTGCCTACTTAAGGTATACTCAAAATGTCTATGAACGCCACTTTGTTTGCTCCTGTACTGAGTCTGATCGATAGTTGATCGAGTTTGCCTCATCTTTAAAAGCCTACAAGCTCCTTTGTCATTGAGGGAGTTACTGATTTCGCTGTAAAGGAATTCATGAATTTCAGAGTTTCATCCATACTGAGAGAAATCGATTATTCCGCTCGTGAGAGAAATGTACTGACCCTTTATTTCCATCATCCAATCACAATAATCGGAATCTTCTAAATCATTTGAACCATCGAAACCACTCCGATTTTTATTATAAGACATTTTGATATATAATATATTTTTTCGATTGTGAGAAAAACCTTAAGATTACATTTTCAATTTCATTGTATTTTCTTAATTATAAAGAAATAATTTTAAGATTTTTTTTTCTAATTAGAAAAACATACTAGTGAAATTTAAGACAAAGTAAAATGTTCGGATGGAATAATATGCAATTTGAATGCCAAATAAAAAACTTAGGCAAAATTGAAACGTCATAATTCTTAGCAATTAAAATTGTGATATGGTTGTTTACAATTAATTATTATATTATACTAATATTAGAACAACGACCAAAAGTCACAGGTCGATGCAACTTTACTTAAAAAAATAAAATAGTTGAATGACTCTGCGATGAAGTGATCATCAATATTTATATTTGTTTTAACAAAAAAAAATTATATTTGAGTAACGAATAATTGTGATATGGTTGTTACAGTTTACAATTAATGATTATATTATACTAATATTATAACAACGACCAAAAGTCACAAGTCGGCGCAACTTTACTTAAAAAAAATGTAATAGTTGAAAGACTCTGCGATGATGTGATCATCAATATTTATATTTGAGTAATGAATAATGATAAGAAATAACCATTGGCACCTATCCCAGTAGCCACTAGCATGTCATCCTAGGCTAGAGGTGGAGGGATCGAATCCCCACTCCTTCACTTCCCATTCCCCATTCGCATTTTCTCTCCTCTGGTTTAGAATAGGTACATTTTGTACTCTATTGTGTGAGTTCCATCCCATTTTGTGTGAGGCAAGATACATGTAATTGTAGTATTTCAAAAACTTTGCATTTTCTCTCCTCTGGTTTATAGAATAGGTACATTTTGTACTCTATTGTGGGAGTCCCATCTCACTTTGTGTGAGACAAGATACATGTAATTGTAGTATTTCAAAAACTTTGTGTGAGACTCTGGTTTAGAATAAGTATATATTGTACTCTATTGTAGGAGTCCCATAATTGTAGTATTTCAAAAACTTTGTGTGAGACTCTGGTTTAGAATAGGTACATATTGTACTCTATTGTAGGAGTCCCACCCCATTTTGTATGAGACAAGATACATATAATTGTAGTATTTCAAAAATTTTGTGTGAGACAAGATACATGTAATTGTAGTATTTCAAAAAATAATGATGAGAAATCACTTCGAAAAAGAGTTAATATGAAAAAAACCCTTGAGGTCTGATTTATTGTCAAAAAGATACTCAACTTCAGTAAAAATATTAAAAAGACACCTTAATTGGTAAAACTTCAAAATCAAACGGTAAGAGTTCCAAAACATGTGCCGGTGCCCCTTCCCTTTTTTAAGAGTCCCTTGAGTGAGTGAGTACTAGGTAGAGCCCTTCCCTTCTCTTTTGTTGTTGCTACCATCCATCTGCAAAATGCAAATGTGGGAGGCTCCCAACTATTTGGTTTGTTTAAATCAAACTAATTAATGACGTTACGTGATTTTTTTTTATCATTTTTTTAAAAAATAGTTAATTTTATTAATTATTTTAATGGACTGGTCGTTTTATCTCTCTTGAATAGCTTCAACGACACAACTCTTCCAGATTAAATCAAATCCCTAAATTACCTCTTATCAATCGCATGTTTCAATTTTAAATCGAGAATATTGATCTCTTTAGCTTCTGTTGATTTTCTTATTTCATATAATATTATCTCTACGTAAAAATCCCTAAAGTCCTCTCTCTTCTCTCTTTCTCCCACCGATCAATAGCTCCAACACTGTCGCCACCGCCCGCCGCTGACGACTCACACCACACATATCCGTTCGAATCACTTCACAAATCTGGGCATGATCAAATTCCTATCAAAACCGGAGAAAACTTTCTAATCATCATCAATTGCTTGCGCCGAGAAGGGGAGATCGAATCCCTGGTCAAATCCCCGAGCTATTTATTTCGTGTGAAGTAAACTTTTTGGGACTGAAAATTGTTGAGAGATTTTATGCTGAATTGGTCTTTTTGGGACTCAATCGTCCGAATCTCATGAAGAAGCTTCAAATGCAGCGGGAGCCGTGGAGGAAAAATCTGCTGCTATAATTCTCACTGTCTCCAGACCTGAAGGTTAATTTTCATTTTTTCCCCTTTCAAACCAATATCTTCAAGCAACATGATTACGAAAATAAGTTTTTTTTTTTTTTAAAAAAATTTCGGTATAGAGTATCAATTTCAAACAGTGAGTTATGGGAAATGATTAGGAATTACATCATGAGTTTGCGAAGGAAGAAAGTTCGTCCTGCTTATCACCTCATCCTATCTGTAAGTCCTTTTTTTCCCTTCCTCCTAATTTCGTTCAGTTTGGTTTTATTTTCTGCAAATTGATTGGTCTTTTCTTGCATACTTTTTATCTCTGCCCGTGCTTTTATAGCTTTCTCGGTGACCTTATCAAAATGGTCGAATTTGACGGTGTTTTCTTTTCTGGGATGCTCAAATTATGTGAATTTGATTTTTGTGCGTTATTTTATTCAACAGCATTGAATCAGTTGCATGGGTAAAATTTCTCCAAATACTTTAGCCATTTAAATTCAAAGTCATTTTTTAAGATTTAACCGCAAGATACCGTTGATCTTGACAGCAGCTTTTGTTTCGTTTTCTATGATAGCAAGATGAAAAGTGCTTTTGCTGCCCCTGTATTATGTATATAAAATAAAATAGCCTCTAAATTTTAGATCATTAGTCATTGCAATTAATTTCATTTTTATATAGGATTTGTTTTTTGGATCTGATGTGACATGGTATGGTGAGGTTGTACTGAGAAAGTGATGAAATGCTTTTGAAGAGATTTCAGATGATTAATCAAGCTTGATTTTGAACAAGAGTAATTAAATTAATAGAGATGAAAAAATAATTCCACATTTTTCTTTCTTTTTGTGTGTGTGAATTTGCAAAATCCATGTTCCACGATGATAGATGACTTATTACCTTTGTGTATTCAATGAGACTGGACCTCTAAATTGAAGAGTTTCATGCTTGCAACTTTTGACTTTAAGAAAACACATTATAGATTCTTAATCTTAACTCATATAACTGCAACATCAACAAACATGATTGTATCAATCAATGTTTTCGACTTTTGCTTTTTTCCTGTCTGATGTGTGTTTCATTTTGCAGTTCACATGGTACATTACATGCATGCATCCTTTTCAAGTGAGTTGAAGATCATGGTTCGAGTAGGGATTCAGGACTTATACTGTAAACCAAATTTTGTAATGCCTATTTTGAATAAAGGAGTTTTAGATACGTCAAATGACTTATAACACTTATGTTTATCATCTACACATAATATTCCTTAAGACTATCTTAATTGTAAAGTCGTTTTTATTACATATTTTTCCTTAGTATTTTGCATCGAAGGATGCAGTTATTGGGAGAGTTTTATTGAAGTCGGATGTTTTAAGCTCTAGCATGGTTCTTCTTAAACAGATTCTCAGGCGAAACTCAATAGATTATGCCTTTTTTATGCACTATCAATCTCCCTAATTTTCAAAAAATAAAAAGAAAAATAGAGTAATAAGATCTCTAAAATGAACCTACGTTTTTACTTATTATCACTATTTAGTCATGATAAAGTATATGCTTTTTTTTTCCCTTTTTGTTATTATAGTATAGTATACATTTTTTCTACATATCGATTTGTTAAGCGGGACCGTTCAGGTATTCGTCCGGGTCAAGCATCTAGTTTTTCTGAAAGTGGGAAACGTGGGGAGTGTTTTTGATATTAATCCTTGAAAATTTTTGGAAATAGCCATATCTTAAAAGTAAACGACATAAGTAGCACAGTCAGAACGATAAAGCAGGAGGACATCATGAAATTAATAACAACCTTGAAAGCCACAATTTTCAACGTGTGGAATGCACTTGTGGCCGGAAGTTTTATAGATTTGGAATGAAAGAGCAGGGGCCAGGGTGTGGGAGGGTTCAAGTGGAATATTAGTACTATATAATGAGATGCGAGATTCATCAAAACGATCTAATATTTAGGAACGAAAAGTGAAAAGGAACGGGAGGATAAACCTAATGACAAACCCATGGACTGTAGTAAGAATTTTACGATAATTTTGGTGCGGTGGGGGTTGGAACCAATCCAAAATATTCCCATCCTCAAAACGTTTTGATTTGTCCTAAATTTAAGTATGTTTTTTAATTGAGAAAAAATTTTTTAAAATATTTTTTAATAATTAAAGGAACATAATCAAAATAAAAATATATTTTTAAAGTTTTTTTTTTCAATAAAAGAACATAATAAGTACTAAAATTTATGTCAAATCAAAATAACTTATAATAAAAACAGTATGGAATATAAACTAGTGATGTGACATGGTAAAATTGATACTCCATCCGATCTTTAATACTCTCTCTGTCCCAAAATTATTGTCCAATTTAAGATTTCACTTTTAGTATAATTCTGAACTAGAAATGAAAAATAAAACTGGACAATGATTATGGGACGGAGGGAGTATAAGACATTTGCACTTTGTCTTAGTTTTCACCTAATAAATATTTTTAATTAATAAAAAAATCTTAAATACATTTTCAACAATTACGAGAACATAAAGAATTTAAAAAAATATTTTTGTTAATTAAAAATATTGAGACCGTACAAGTGTACGTGAAACCAAATAGTAACCAATACAAGAGATTGAATTGAGTAACGTACTCTCGGCTTCATTTTCTACTCTTTCGTAATCTTAAAAGGGGATTTCGCTGTTCTCACGAACTTTACTTGCACTTTCCATTAAAAAATTCAAAATGCCTTACAAAAAGCGAGGGAGTTGTGCCACCCACCCACGGCCACAGTCCCTCCGCCACTACTTCTACTACCTCAGCGTCGAATTTTCCTCCCCAAATCCTCCGACCAGCAGTGTTCCTAGAGTGTCGATTCCATTTGAAAGAGAGAAATGGATAATCCCGATGATTCCCACGGCGGCGGCAGCTCCACTAACCCAACTCCGGCGGCGGAGTATGTTCAGGGAAGAAAGCTTGAAATAGAAGCGCGCATTTTGAAGCCTTTGGTGAGATCTTTGTTGAATTGGAGTAAGCCTGACCTAAAATTGAAGGAACGCCTGCAGCGTGTTGATGATGTCATCCACATGGTCGTTGAAGACCTTGAGGAACCTGCTCCGGAATCTGCAAAAGTACGGCGCGTGTCTTCCAATCTGAAGAGCACACATGAAGATATGGAAAGGATTCTTTCTCTGTGCAGCGAGAATTCAAAATCTTACTGTACGGATTCGTGGAATGGTGCAGAGCATACATTATGTTTCATGGATTCCGTCGCACAGATTCTCCAGACTGTTAATCAGCTCGGGGCAGAGATATTCGATGAGTTCGTTGCTGCAAAGCAGGTATTATTAGATGTTTGTTACGAGCTCAATTTTATGGAAGATTTGCTTTGGTTAATATATGTGAATCCAGTGAGAATGAATTTTGGAACTTGCTCCTATTTGTCATATTTTACTGAAAAGATAGGGGTGGAGATCTTGTGTATGTTGTACAACTGTCTTATGAACAAGATGGATGAAGCTTTGCTGGTTAGGTTTTTGAACGGAAAGATTAACAGTATTCGGAAAGAGGTAAAGAATTATCATGAAAGTTCATATCGGGATCAATGGTTCCCAAATAGTGCAGCCATACTGGATAAGCGTGTCGTGCGCTTCTTTGATTATCTGATTGAAGAAATGAAGAAGTTGTTGTTGCATAATACAGGAGATAGCTTCATGTTAAATACTGCTGATGGGAATGAAATGGAGATTGTGGTGCAGGAGCTTAGTTTTATAAGATGGAATCTCTTGGATTTACTTATGTTATATCTCCTGGAAAAGGACACGGTGCTAATTGAAGAGATGAATTCTCTTTGTTTTTCCACACAGAACCTCATCATGGATACAGGATTCCTTATTTTCTTCTTTCGTCTTGATGACCAAAGGAGAAGGGAAAACCAATCAAGTACCTGGACTGACGAGGATGAGGATGAAAAAGCCAGAGCCAATTACTGGAGGTTTCACCTCCCTGGTTTGCTTGAGCATATTGACTCTCTGAAGCAACGGGCAGATAATTTGTTGAGTTTTTGCAATAAGTTTTTCAATCCTTCGAGTAAGTCATATGGTAGCACGAACCAGAAGGAATCAATCAATGGCCTCATCAACTGCCTTTTATGCCTAAAGCATCCTGATGAAGCTTCAACTGATGCACTGCATACCCAGGTTCAATCCATATACCAAGAAATTTCATCTTTGAAAGATTTTTTGCCTGAAGTTTTTGAAGATCATCTGTCTGTAAAGCCACCGCCACCTCAATTCCAATTTCTCAGGCAACAATTTGAAGAGGCTATTAATAAATCCAACTTCATCATTCATATAATTTTAGCCGGAAAAGGTCCGCTTTGGTATCATAAGTTGGGTATATTTGTGGTTCTAAACCATGTTAAGGTGGCACTAAAGCAGATGAAGGCTTATTCAAAGAAGATGGTTACTTCTGACCCTATTTCAACCAGTATTTCAGGTCCAGCCTCATTACTGTCCAAGAATCCCAAACATGATGAAATGAGGGACATGAAGGAGGAATCTCCTGATAAACTGGTTGGCAGAGAAGATGAAACCATGGAGGTGATTGAAGCTCTTACTAGTATTGGAGCAACTCGGCTAAAGAGTCTTGCTATTGTGGGCATGCCAGGACTAGGTAAGACAACTCTTGCTAATTCAGTGTATAAGCATCCTTCAATCAATGCACACTTTCATGTCCGGGCCTGGTGTTGTGCGTCTGAGTCTTATGTCAAAGAAGCCTTGTTGTTCGAGATATTGAGTCAAATTGTAAGCAGAGACAATGAAAATATCGAGATAACAGGAGAAGATCTTGCTCTAAAGATTTATCAGAACCTGAAGGGTAGGAAGTACCTAGTTGTTATTGATGATATATGGGAGGTTAAGTTATGGAATGAATTGAAGGAAACTTTTCCAGATGACCATAACGGGAGTAGAATTTTATTCACTACTCGAAATCGTGCCGTTGCGTTGAAAATTAATAGTATTCCTTACTCTCTTCGCCTCCTTTCCAATGAAGAGAGCTGTGAACTACTATTGTTGCGCGTGTTTAATGGAAGGAATTACCCTGAGGAGTTGTCAATGATCTCAAATCGTATTGCAAGGCATTGCCAAGGGTTGCCCCTTGCTGTGATTTTGTTTGCTGGAATTCTGAAAAGGACAGAAAGGAGAAAAGGTTCTTGGGAACAAGTTGCTAAATCAGTTTTCAGTTTGCACACAGAACAAGTTAAATGCACAGAAGTAATGGACTTCACCAACATATTAGAATTCAGCTACAACCAGTTGCCAGATTGCTTGAAGCGGTGCTTTGTTTATTTTGGAGCATTTCCGGAGGACTCTTCTATTTCTGTATCAAAGTTGATAAGATTATGGATATCTGAAGATTTTGTGCACGGACTAAACCTGGGCTTGAAGAGTTCAAAGCAAGAAGCCGAGGCTTACTTATGTGAGCTAATAGACAGAAGCCTTGTAATGATTGCCAAAATGAGTTCCAAAGGTGGAGTCAAAGCATGCCGTGTTCATGATGTTTTACGTCAATTTTGCTCCAAAAAACTCCATTCAGAAATGAAATTTTTAGGAGAAGATGTCTTTGAAAAGTTCTCATCTTTTCGCGGTAATCTCAATGCGCTTCATGCTTACAACACATATTTATATCACTACAGATCACATCCGTCTACCATACACAGTCGCTTCCACTTCCAAGATGTTTCTAACGATTTACATTTTGGACCTAGATTACAGCATACCGACAAGAAGTTGTCCAGGTACATGCCTCCTGTTGTCAGAGAGTGGCTCTCAGAAGGGTTGTTGATGCACACCGGAAACACCAAAATTAAACGGTTTAATTATGACATGATCTCTTATTTTCTACAGCTCAGAGTGTTAGACCTGGGAAATGTACGAGTTGAAAGCTCTGCAGACACTTCGGATCTTGTCATAATTGCCGAGCTGATTCACTTGAGGTACTTAGCCATCAGGCCTCGGAGGAATGAACTGCCCCCAGAGTTAGGCAACCTTCAATATTTGGAAACTTTGGCTCTAGCTGGAGTAATTGGCTATATCTTCTTACCAGACACGATCTGGAATTTGACAAGTTTGAGGCATCTGCTATCAGATCATGGTATTTTCATCTTTCCGCATGTCACTGAGAAGTCCTTGAACTACTACTTCCAGATGGATGACTTGACTCACATTTCCACCCTTCCACTGTATCGGGGAAAAAATGTTGGCATGTTCATCTTGAGGAGGCTTCCCAGCATTCAGAAATTAGGATGCAGATTTTTTTCAGATTCATGGGATAATTATCTAGGCTGCAATATTTTTCCAGAGCTGGACTTTTTGAGTGAACTTAAATCGCTCAAGATCTCATTCTCTGGGAAAGTGCAGTGTCCTTGTAAGTTTAGTTTCCCTTCAAACCTTGTAAAGTTGGTCATCTCCAGCTCTCGCCTACCATGGGAGGAAATCTCAGTCATCGGGCGACTACTACCGAATCTTGAAGTTCTTAAGTTGCTGAGCAAAGCATTTGAAGGGCAGCAATGGGACATGAAAGATGGTGAATTCCCAAAGCTGAAATTCTTGAAGCTAGAATCTCTGGATATTGTAGTATGGAATGCTGAAGCTCCTGATTACCTTCCCTTTCTTGAACAACTTGTAGTGCTGCGTTGCCCAAATTTACAGGAGATCCCTGCTTCTTTTGGAGAAATTGCTACTCTTAAGTCGATTGAGATAAAATGGTGCAGCTCCCCTGCCATGGATTCTGTCAAAAATGTTCTGGAATTGCAACGTGATTTGTCAAACGATGAGTTCAGTGTCAATCTCAGCAGTCCGCTAGAATGAAATATTTCTCAGCCGCAGTAAGTTAAATTATTTTCCTCTCTTTTTCAAACATGTAAAGTTTGGGTTTTGAGATCGTCGTTTATGTCTTACTGATCTGAGAGTATTAACATCCCTATTTTGAGCCAGAACCAATTCTAAATTGAAGTGATCTACACTGATTTAGTAAACAATCTCCTGTTATCGCGGATCAGTCGAGGGATCTGGTTAGAATCTGCATTGTCTAAAATAGAAAAAATGAATTCTGTTCGCGTTGTTTGGGTATTGTTTTAGATCAGTTAAGGAACTTGACTTCCTTTGTTCCTAGTTCCTACAGTCCCCTACTTAAAATCTTGACATGTTTTTCTCCCCTTTGCTTACTTCAGTAATGTTCTCGTGTTTATCATTTTTGCCTGCACACTTTCCTTTTTTCCTGGTGATTTTCACACACGTAAAGTGTCATTATAAAAAAAAATTATGCTACCTAAATGTTACATCTGTCCTGCTGGTAAATTATTCAGTAACTGCTTATAATTGAGTAAATTTAACATAACCTGATTGGAGTATGGTTTAATAACGTTGTAGCTGGATCAGATTGGTGCTGATAGTGCTGGGTTGCTTTGTTGGTTCTTTTGATGCCATAATGTGTCCTAATGTTCCTTTTACTAATTCAGTTGTAGAAAGCTGAGCTTCTTTACAGTTAGTTGCTGAAACACATTAAGGTGGAAAGACATACTTGTCGATATTCTGACTTTGCTTTGAATGGTGAATCTTGTAACCTTGAATCAGTGGTTCTTGTGTCTTATACGGTCGGTGTTTTATCTGGCATGCATGCATATTATTTTCGCATCACATTGATGTTGTGGTAATCTGTGAATTCAGAATTGTCTGAACATTGAAAGAGACTGGATCCAACCTCAATTCACTGTACAGCAGATGATAATACAAGGGATCTCCATCAGCTAACATGGCCGGAAACATTTGCCTTGGGTTGCTTGATTAAATTTCCTCCGTTGTCCGTGGAGTACACCTTTAAAAGGAACCGCGCTTGATGGAACTGAGTATAATCTTTAAGTGCTGGCTGACGATATGATTTGGGCTGATGCATCTGATCAAAGGTTAGTGTCTCCTCTGCTTCGCTTCTCTGTGTAAAACCCTTGTGCTTTATGCTAAGTGGGATTCTCCGATGATCAAGCCAGGTTGCAAAATGTGTCTTTATCTTTTCTGTTGAATGTTCCCCACCCATTTCCTTCAATGTTCTGCAATCAAACTTGGGAACAAAAAAAGAACTGTTCCAATACATCAAACTATATTATTCCTTTCCATCACTTTGGAAAATATTGTACTTAGATATTCTCCTTGTCTGTACTCCTGTTTCCTCACCAGTTTCTTGCGCTCGATTCAGGTTTCCGCACTGCCTTTTTGGTTTGATACTATTTTGGTCCCAATTAATGCGGTTTAGTTCTTCGGTTTTGAGTTTCTTGGATATCAATTTAATTTTTTAGATTAAAAAAAGACTTTCCTAATCATCATGTGCTGTTGGTTGCTACTGTTGGTAATTAATTGATGGAGAGCAATCATGTCAATGTAGATATTGGGGTGAACATTATTCTGAAAACTTGTTGATTCAATCTTCACAGGAATATGAACAATGGGCCTCATTTGATTCATTGCCGTTGATGATGGATGCATATTCAGACCAAGAGAGATTTCTTGCCGGGGGTTTTGGGTTCAGTGATCCGAATCTCGACCAATCCCCAACTCACCGTACTACAGATACATATGCTGATACCATGAAGGATCTCCACCAGCTACCTTGGCTTGAAAGGTTTGTTTCTGTCATAAGTGACAACTTTTATGAAGAATATATCCAGTGAACTATCAGACATTGGAGGTTCATGCTTGTGCATGTAGAATGTGTAAATATGTGCATATCTACATATATATAAGGGCGAGTTGACCGGACATCCGTCTGTTTAGGTATGGTGGCCGGTCACTCGCCCGCCCACACACGTGTTGCCCCACGATTATCAAGTTTGGCCTTCCATTTGTCTTCCCCGTCTTCCCTGTCTCTCTCTGCACACATCACTGGCGCTCGCTCAACTCAATCAATAGTATTCATGAAATCAATTGCCCCATGAACCTTCGGTCCTTGCTCAAAAGGGTTTTCTCCAAATCTGAACATTTTTTCTCATCCATGTCCACGAATCAAAAATCACCTTCGAATCAAAAGTCTCCATCGATTTCAAAATTGGATTGAAATCTCACTGGTCCCGGCGGCTTGGTAGCTGCGGCCTAGCCGCATCAAGGTTAGAAATTATTAGATACTTGTTGAGTAGTGTTATCTTTCACTCAAATTCTATTTGATTCGGTTCAAATTATCTGTATTTGGTTGATAGGTGTTAAATGAATTTAATAGCATTAGAAGTTATCTGATTCTGAACTCGGCGCTTTTAGGAATAGTAGAGTATGGATATCTTCATATGGGTTGCACAATAAAGATGTACAACAATTTGTGTCAATTTCAAAATGTTTCTGGATTTTCTTTTGGAAGTAAACAAAACTATTATTTTGGCAGAGTATGATACTTGCTGATTCCCAAAAAACTAGCCACACTATGGCATGAAAGGCATAACTGGAACGGCAAAATTGATGAGAAAAGTTCTCCATATCTTCCCTTTGTCGGCTTTGACAGTTTTTTTTTATGGCAAAGGCGTAAAGACCAGAATATCTGTGCTCTTACGTATTATTCTTCTTAATTGATTTGTTTCTGGTCTTAGTTTTAAAATTGCATAGCTCTAATATCTCTGAACAACACCAGATTGTTGTGCGATGAAAGGTCAAGTGTGCATGTAAAATGTTCGATTTTTTGCTTCCAAAAGTGGAATTTTAATGTTCACTTAAGTTTCTTTGTAAATTATCTGGACTTAAAAATCAGTAGTGTTGTAACTATCCTAGGAGTTGCCAAAGGAAAAAGAATTCATACGAAATTTGGAGTGAATGCAGACCTGATTTGGTGACTATATTATGCATATATCTTGTATAATAGTGAGAAGCAGCCGTATCAATGACATTTGATTAATTAGTGAGTTTACTTTTTTAAACGAAAAATTCTGTCCTGCTTGGTTGAAACAGGAAAACTACTATTTTCTTCTAATTGAAAATTTAGAACTAGCTCTCTAATGAGGCTCACATTGAGCAAATAAAAAATCCTTCCAAAGGTATTTGTTGCACATAAAACTTTTTCCCATCACTCTCCTCGCTAATCACTTGTTAACCCAAAAGCCATACTCAGTGAATAAGGGAAGCATACATGACAAATTATCCTCCATTCTTCCTTCCATCTTTATGCTAACCTTAGGTCACAAAGCAGAATTAATTCTGTGCAGGCTGCCCTGCATGAGGGCTCACCTTTAGCAAAGAAAAAGAAGCCAATATTTGCCGCATCATGTCTAACTTTTCATGTCACTTTAATTTAAGGAAGTTTGGTGATAAAATATAATCATTGTGGATATGGTTTTACCTGAAAGTGAAGTTGCATGAGACAATTGGGCTGAACTTGTGAAATCTAATAGCCAGTTTCTAATCATTTGCTTGTTTTTTCCCTCATCTTTAGTTTGCACAGTAATGAGTAATGCTACCTAAATGTTGAATCATTGCTGATGTCGCCGGATGAATTGTTGACATTTTTGTAGGTCAATTAGCATTAACAACTTCTCTGGTTCTTTCCCATCTGAGCTTGGGGATTTAAATGGGCTAGGTAAATGCTTGATTAGTTCAGGATTCCCTCGACAATATATCAATAGAAAAAGCCAATTCGTACTTAGTTGATTTTAAATGTTTCATGATCTGCTTCATCAGGTGCTCATGGAAATCCAGGGACATTACATAAAGGTTCTAAGAACGTTACAGTTATAGAATCTGTAAGTTAAGGACATCACTGTTATTTGCAATTCCTGTTTAATCCACCATAAACCGTTCACATTATTGAAACACGGTTTTTTTGCAGGTTTAGTCTAGATCAGGGAATTCGACTAAAAAAAACCAGTGAAATCAACTTGCAGTTACTCGAGATTGTTATGATATTTATTGTACTCAGTGTTGTACTCAGAATTCATTTGATGTGAAACTGTATCAGCATTTCTGGTGATATCAGTTGAAAAAAAATAGCAGTTTATACCATTAATTAACTATCCGAGTTGGTCATTTTCGTTTGCCCTGTAAAGTGAGATTTATTGTTGAGGCATTCTATTATTACTCTACAGAAATGTGTCGTATTTGCGTCCCCAACCCAAAATACCAGAGGAGAATAAGAAAGTGTAGTTTGGTGATATGAGATTGTTGGGCTATCTATTGCCTTGATGTTGTACTCATAATACATTTGGTGTGACATCAACTAGGCTATGCTTCTCCTCGGCTATTGTATCAGCATCTTGAAACAATTTATACATTAACTGATTGATCTGAGTTGGTCATTTTTCCCTACCCTATAAAGTGAGCTTTATTGTTGCGGACAGTTTAATGTGATATTATATTTGCATCCTCAACCCTAATTATTAAGAGTACACAACCTTACACTTGCTGATATATAATCTCATCCTTTTATGTATTAAATTTTTCCTATTTATTAATTTCTCCTTTTAAAATATAACGAAAGCATTTTCCAAATACTGGGTTTCTCCTCAATTTAGGCTGCATAAAGTGCAGCTCACCTCCCTAGTTGTTAATAATTGTAAAGCTTTATGTTGGTGTAAATAGTTTGTAAATTGCAGGGACTCAATTGTATATAGGTATGACTGCTAGGGACTAAAGTGTAAATAGTACTACATATTAGATTCGGCTGATGGTGGACTCTATTTAATGTGTCCTGATTTTCTTTGTACAGACAACTTGAATGAAAACCAAATTCAAGTTGTAGCTATGTAAATATTAGGCTCGGTGCCTCTCTTTTGAATCAAAAAAAAAAAAAAAAAAACCAGATTCATAATTCCCCTCATAAAGAAACCTAAAATCTCATCTTAGCTTCCGCTTGAACAACCTTTTCTTAATTAATTTTTCATCAATCTTTTGAAATTATAGTATCAGAGCAGGATTAAAGTCATGCTCTATGCCGGAGATAAACCAGAGTTTTTCTTTTCTTGCCGGAGTTTGATCAAGGATTGAAACCCTAGTTTTTGATCTGAAGAAATGGCGAACAATCGAGCTGGAAATAACCGCGAAGAACAGCGGCGTGAAGATCGAGAGACGGTCAATTATGGTGAATCACCCACTCTTCTTACATCCATCAGATCATTCGTCGATGGCAATCGTTTCAACGAAGCCAAGCAAAGTGAATTACGTTTCGTGGAGCCACACCGTTCGACGGTCACTTGGAACAAGAAACAAGCTCGGATTTATAACCGGAGCTATAGAGAAGCCAGACATTGATGATCCAGATTATAACCAGTGGATGCGGGGAATGATATGGTAATCTCTTGGATTTTGAATTCAATTTCTGCTGAGTTAGCTGAAAATTATTCTCTAGCCAAAGATGCATGTGAATTATGGGAAGAACTCAAAGAAGAATATGGCACTAAGAATGGATCACAAATTTATCATCTTAGGCGTGAAATTGCAACTGTATCTCAAGGAAATCTTAGTTTGGCTAGGTATCATTCTAAATTGAAGAGACTGTGGGATGAGCTAGTGTTTGTAGATCCGGCTGATGAATGTGTTTGTCATGGATATACTTGCAAACTGAGTAGAAATGGAGAAAGAGAAAATGCCACAGGTTAATGGAGTTTCTTAGTGGTCTAAATGACTCTTATTCTGCTGAACGAAGTCAGATCTTGATGATGGATCCTCTTCCTGAGGTAAAAAAAGCTTATACAATGACGTTGAATGTTGAAAAGCAGCAACAAATTCAGATAACATTTGGTGAATCTGTGGAGCAAAGTGCTCTGTTGGCACAAACAAGAAGTTTTAGTAACATGAATTCTGGTTACTCTGGCAAGTTTGGATCAACTTCAAATGCTGCAGGAAATATTAGACAACAGCCAACATATGAAAAAGAGAATGATTACAGAAGGGATAAAGCAGCTAGAAAGCTACTCAAGTATGATCATTGCCACATAAATGGACATCTTAAGAGTGAATGTTTTCAACTGGTTGGATATCCAGAGTGATGGGACAATTTTAAGGAATCCAGAAGGCAGATAGGAAAAAGAACTCTGCATACATGGTAGAAGCGCTAGGGGATCAAGAGAAGACTTCACCTGCTAAAAAGATGAGATGCTTACCTTGATGACTAATTTGATGAAGATGATGAAAGGAAAGATGGAGGTACCCGAAGCAGAGAAGATTAATTTTGCCCACTATCATGATTTCTCAGGTATGGCTTGTTATAAAGCCCTGAGTGTTATGAACATGCTTAAAAATGAGTTTTTGGGACTTTGGTTTCTAGATACAGGAGCTAGAGCTCATATGGTAGCCCTCTTAGAATTCCTGTACATGTATAGATCAGTGTCTAGTTTCACTCCTGTTTCTTTATCAAATGGGAGTATAAAAGCTGTTGATCACATAGGTTCCATCAAACTTTTTGAAACCTTAGAGATCCATGAATGCTTACACATTCCATCCTTCAAATAAAATCTCTTGTCTGTCAGTAAATTGGCAACAGATTCTCTTATATTGATTGTTTTTTTTCAGAAACTTTTTGTCTTCTACAGGACCGCTTGACTAGGCACATGTGTAAACCACCCCCTAGGGACATCACTATCACACATAGCATAAAATACAAAAATTCAAATACAAATATGCCACTGAAAAGTGAACTTAGGATCCCCAATTCAGACTGTACTTCAATGCAATGTTACTCTTACACATATTATGAAACCGAAGGCTTACAATTACACCTCACAATATAAAATTCAACGCACTTCCCTCGTACCCATTCTTCAGTGTCCATATGGCTTTTCTTCAGGATCTTTCCCACTCAGGCCCCTACCCAGAGCATTTTTCCACTTGATTTATGTAGTGATTTACATAGTGGCTCCAGCAACTTAGGGCAGTCTACTTACTTATATTTTCTCACCGACGGGCCTGAGGACACTCTGCTAGTTGTTTGCTAGACTTCTCACCTATCATTGGGCTAGCATCAACATTGAATTCTCTTTCTTTTCTCCCTCTTTAAATTGTACCTAACCTCAGAAAAGCATCCGCCAACAACCCCTCCCCCACACTTACTTAGCACAAAGTACATTAAGCAAGAAGGTAAAAAGGCTATTTTCAAACCACCACTCCCCCGTTTTTCGAGGTTGAAGTGATGATAGGGTTAATGCCTACTTTTTGGTTCCATAATAGTAAGGTCTCACATACACATAGTTCAAATACTGAATGAATCAAATCAAATTTGGCATATTGCAACAATTTAAGCAATTACACATACATGTTAAGTTTATCCCAGAGTTATGGCTAAAGTGCACAAGTAGAGTATTCAGGGTATAACACATAATGCACAGATTCGAAAGAAATTTTTGTCCCAATGTAAGTAGATTTCATAGAGTCTCAAGTTAAGTTCATCATCGGCTATTTTTGGTTTTTTTTCTTTTTTCATTTTTCTGATTTTTTTTTTTGTTTTTCAATTTTTTTCTCTTTTTTTTGTTTTTTTTTAACATAAGCAAACACTAAAATAATAAATGAAAAAAAAAGTAAACACAAACAGACAAGAACAACTAAAATCCCCTCCCTCCCACACTTAGAACAAACATTATCCGCAATGTAGCAAAAGATATAAAAATGAAGAGCAACACTTCTCTGAAAAATGTTGGTGATGCAGGGTGCGAAACAGCAATTGACGAACGATGATAATAGCAGCACAAACTAGCCAATGATCCAATTGAAGTTTGGTTCGCCTGATTGCAATTTTGGAATTTAGGGTTCCTTGAAAAGAACAGAGAGAAAATAAAACTTAAAAGAAAATTTGGGTTTTTTTTATTTTATTTTTTTAAGAAAAGAGCTCCAGCATGTTAGACGTGATCACGTCTAGTAAGGATGGAGATTCTCTGGTTATTGTCAAAAATTAAAGCAAAATTTCAGAATCATTTCTTCTCTTAGGTATGATCACGCCTAAGAGAAAATTACTCCAATAAAAATGCAGTGAACTAAACATTATCTTACCTATGATCACGCTTAACGAAAAAAAAATTTTTACTAAAATAAAACACTAAACATGTATGAAAAACTAAATTTCAACTGACAAAACTAATTTAACAAATCAAAACACAATCAAGTAAACTTGGGTTGCCTCCCAATAAGCGCCTTTCTTTATTGTCTTTGGCTAGACCAATTTGGTGTGTTTCAAGGTGGAAATTTTGAACTTCCACCTAATAACTGAGTAAGATAAAACCCTGAGCAATTTCCAATAAAAATAAAGTTAGATGGACAAGATTTCGATTTAGATTCAGACACAGAATCAACAAAATGAGGTGGAAAATAATCTCCTCTATATGATTCTTTAAACACTTCATATCTATCTAGTATTTCTAAAATTGTATCCATCGTCAACCTTGATTCAGGAGGTCGAGATAGATGTCCATATGCAAAATCAAGATATATAGGACGTGCTTTTGACTCTACGTTTGGAGATTTCCATTCATCAATAACATCAGCAATAGAACATGGTAGAGTAGATATACCTGGATCATTGCATTTAGAAGAAAATTTTGATTGTAACATACCATATACATCTTCTCCAACTACTACCTCATTCCTTGAAAAGTTCTTCATCACTTTCTGTTTGAACTCCTCTATCATTGCCTCCACTAACATATCTGAAGAAGAAGTAATAGTTGCATTAGTTGGACTAAGTAAAATTAAAATATCAATTACCTCATTGTCGTCCAATGCCTTTGCTTTGTTTTTCTCTACACTCATATGTTTCAAATCATCTGCGTTTTGAGTAGGTGCAATCTCTACACCATAAACCTGTTCTATGAAAGGATATTTCATTCTATCTAACTCGCCCCTTGAGAATCT